ACTGATAGACTGATATCAGAAAGATGGGCTAATATCGGATTTATGCACTTGGACTGGACTGGGATGCTTCTGTAATATACAATTACTTTTTTATATAAAACTCCTTCTTACACACCTATGCGTGTTTATGAATTTGTTTCTCCAGTCAACCCTGACTGACACAGCATGCATCTGAGGGGAGTGGGTCTGGCCTGCCTTAGTCCTCAAACTGACCTCTTAGCATTTGGAGGCCCGAAAGAGGTCTTGCACAGCAGATCTGCCCAGTGCACTCCATCGCGTGATTTTTTAAAAAAAGTTTAATTGGGACATAATCTACCTATCATATGACTCCGTAGTTCAATCGTATGCAGAAAACGTGGACAATCATCACCGCAATCAATTTTAGAACATTTCTTCTTTCTTGTACGCATTCTTATTAGCTCCCCACTCCCCGCAACCTCCCCTGCCATGTCCCCAAGAAACCAATATTCCAGTTACTGGCTCCATCGATCCACCACTTGGTCTCTTGACAGTGGCTTCCATGGGCACTGATGATGGAGTCAGGTCAAAGGAAGGCCATGTGTATTTACCAGGATGTCCATCGGTTCAGCTTGGAGTTTTGTTTTCTTTTCGGTGAAGCGTAATCTGTACCCCCCAAAACAAAAACCAAACTCACTGCCATCAAGACGATGCTGACTCAGTGACCTAGAGGACAGGGTCAAACTGTCCCTGTGAGTTTCCGAGACTGTCACTCTTCACGGGCCGCAGACAGCCTTTCTCCTGTGAGGAGCGGCCAGTGGTTTGGAACTGCTGACCTTGAGGCCCACAGCCCATTGCTTAACCACTATGGTGCCAGAGCTCCTCAGCTAGACAAGAAGTCTGTCTCACAAGGACGCCTGGTTTTAAATTCCGACGTCCGATTCCCAGCTTGTCCGACAGAGGGCAGAAGAGGCCAGAGCTGGGAGACCAAAGGCTCCCAGTTCCCAGGTCTTATTTCTCTCCCAACTTATCAAAGCCGGTCTCCACCCCGCTGTGATGAGCCCAGGTGGCACAGCGTTTCAGTGCTCATCTGCTCAAGGAAAGGCCGGCAGTTGGATACCCTCCTCCCCAGCAGCTCTGCAGGACGACTTGGTGACCTCTTCTTGTAAAGACTGCAGGCCCCCCCCAACCAAAAAAACACCCCCCCAAAACCAAAACACTCTAGAGGGAGTTCTGCTCTGTTGCACGTAAGGGGTCACCACAAGTTAGAACTCCCAGGAAGGCCACTCGCGAGAACTAGTCTGTTGTCACCTCCCGCAAGTCCCTCCTGTCCCTTGGGGAGGCCTTTTCAAGGTCAGCAATGAGATGCCCAAGCCAAGACGAGGCTGAAGATCAGAGGCGACAGCCTTCCGGAGGGACTGCAGCTCCACGCAGAGAAAGCCCAAGGCCTCGCCACGGGCAATAGGCAGCACGGTGAGAAACGGAGACGAGGCTGAGGTTGTCCAGTCCCTCTGACTCGGATCCGCAGTCCAGGTCCCTGCAGCAGTCGAGACGGCGCACAACGCTGCTGCTCTCTCAACAACTCCCTGCTGTGGAGTTGAAGCCGACTCACGGGGACCACACATGTGGCGGAACTGCCCCTGTGGGTTTCTGAGACTTAACACTGTACGGGAGTAGAAAGCCTCATCTTTCGCCTGTCCGCTGCAAGAGACCTCGTTAAAGTAACTTTGAGGGCTAAGGGGCGCCATGGTATCTTCAGTCACCTCATGTACATGTGGAAGTTGGACAGTGGATAAGGAAGACTTCAGAACGGATGCATCCGGATGATGGTGCCAGAGCAGGGTATTGAAGGACCCTGGCCTGCCAAAACACACGCCACCTGTCTTGGGAGAAGTACAGCCAGAACGCTCCTTCGAGGCAAGGGTGGTGAGACGCAACATACTTTGGAGCGACTATCCAGAGAACCCAGTCCCTGGAAAAGGGCACCAGGCTCGGCAAAATAGCCAGAAAGAGGAAGAGCCGTGACGAAATGGATTGACACCACGGTGGCAATGACGGGCTTGTCAATAGGGCAGCACTTGTGGGGAAAGCACAGCACCTGGCAGTGTTTCATCCTGTGGGATTCAGAAGCCCTTGTGCTGTAGCGGGTTCTGGGTTGGGCTGCTAACTGCAAAGTGAGTGGTTCAAAGCCACCAGATGCTCTGAGGAAGATGGAGCTATTTGACTCCCACGAAAAGTTTTGGTTTCAAAAACCCACAGGGGCCGTTCTACCCTGTTGTGGCAGTTATATAATCAGGTGTCAACTTGAGACTATTCAGAGTGAAGGGGTGGAGTTTAGCTTGTCAATCAGTTCGCAGCTTGATGGCCTCGTTTGGAGGTGCAAAGGAGAGAAATCGCTCACTGGAGGCCAGACCCACAATCTCTGCTTCATCTTCCTGCTGACAAGACACATGGAGCTACGCTGATGGAGCTGGAGCCCTGGAGCTGGAGGAGCCACGTGGAGACCCATGCCGTGCTGAGATGCTTCCACCGCCACTGGATCCACAAGATTTTCCATCCACTGGCCTGTGATCTTCCTGAATTCAGTGTCATTGCATGTGTTCCATGAGTCTGAAGAGGAATTTATAGACTGGTTTCAGACATATGGGCTAATATCGGATTTATGGGCTTGGTCTGAACTTGGCTGGGATGCTTTCTTAATGTACCATTACTCTTTGATATAAAGTTCTCTATTACACACATATGAGTGTCTCTGGATTTGTTTCTCTAGTCAACAAGGACTAACACACCTGTCCTATAGGGTTGCTGTGAGTCAGAATCAAGTCAATGGCAGTGAGTTTATCCTGAGGTGTATTCCTGAAGATGGTTTGGGACACATAATTATAGTAACATAATGACAACAACTAAAACTATTTACATTGATTGAATCCTCCCCTCTTGAAGGAGATTCTTCGATGAGAAGACTGAGACCGAGAGGTCCAATAACAGGAGCAATGTTCCCGGTGACTAAGTGAAGGGACTGAGTTTTGAAGATGAAAGCCCCTGGCTCCCAATACGACACTGAACTTCCTTCAAGGAACAAAGGGTGTGAGGGGTGCAGCAGGACTTGCGCAAGCGGTGACTTGATTAGCTTCTGTCTTCCTTTGCACACTGCCCTCCAGGATTCCCACCAACTCTGGGGTAAAAAACAGACTCCTCAGAGTTCCAGGTACGAGAAGCATTTGGATCCCCAGCTAGGCGTCGTCAAAGCCGAACCACAAATGTTACTGATCGCGGGCTTCGGGGGAAGCGGGACCCTGAGGAAAGGAAACGGAATGGAAGATGTGGGAGGACGTGACCCTTTCCATTTATTTTATAGATCTCGGATAACGGATGAAGATGCGGCATCTCGTGAGAACGTATGATGTGAAGAACCTGGTTCCAGTCTCTCCTCCCATCTGCAAATCAGTAGACCCCTGAAAGAGACACCAGCCTCTTTGATGGAACGGACTTAAGGATTCCGCTTGTTAAGAACAAGTTTTTGTTTTTTCTGGTGACTGACTATAAAATTAACTGGGAAACGGGAAAAGCTTTCTTGTGGTGACATTGCCTCTGATACGCAGCCTCTGTGAATGTTGACGTGATTGCAAATAGAGTCCAACTTCATTTTCCAGCAAGTATTCATCACAAGTGTCTGCAGAAGCTCTGTCTTGGACGTCATCTCCATGGACTGTTTTCTTTCGGTCCAGAATGTAGTTGTGAAGAGTGGGTGACAGTTACGTTCCATTTTGTGGAAGTCAGCACAGAACCACAATGATATTTGAGCAGAGTCACTGGTCTCTATTTTAATAAATATATCAGTATGAAAGAAACAGACAAAAAAACAAACCAACCCCAGACTCCTCCTTGAAGTCCACGCGGCCCTGTAAGTCCTGCCCCCTCCCCTGTTCCTCTGCCCCACTTGCTCACTCTGCTCTGCTCGAGCAACAATGGCCTCCTAGCTCACTCTTCCTCCAACTCAGCGGGCCCAGTCCGACCCCAGGACCTTTGTGTGAGCTCTGCCCTGTTAGGACCACTCTTCCCTCCCTCATCCCAAAGGCTCTCTCCCTCACTTGTTTCCAACATGTACTGACGTGTCACCTCCTTGGTGAAGGCTTCCCGGAATGTCTTGGCCACTTCCCTCCTTCATTAACAAGCCCGCAGTTCAAAACCACCGGCAGCTCAGAGGGAGAAAGATGGGCTTTCTACTTGCTTAAAAAGTTATCCTTGGAAAGTCACAGGGGCGGTTCTACCCCGCCCTACAGGGTCGCTGTGAATGGGAATTGACTCGATGACAGTGAGCTTGGTTGTGGTTGTTTAATGTTTATGGAGAAAGATGAGGCTTCTTACTTCCATAAAGATGTACAGCTTTGGAAACCCACAGGGGCAGTTCTGTGCGATACAGTCACTAAGAGTTGGAATCCACTCCACGGCAGTGAGTTTGGGTTTTGGTTGATTATATTTATGGAGTCCTGGTGGTGTAGTGGTTACACTGGGCTGCTAATCAGAAAATCTGCAGTTTGAACCCATCAGCCACCGGGCAAAAGAAAGACAGGGCTTCCCACCCCTGTAAGCACAGGGCCAGTCCCAGAGGGTCGCTATGAGTTCCGTACTGGCAGCGAGTTTTTATTCTGTTCTTTCAAGTATTATGTTATGTCTTCTCATTTCCCACCTGAGCAAATCATGGGTATGGATTTTCGTTTTATTCTCTGCTGTCTCTCCAGTACCTCGAACTCAGCAAATTAGTTGTTGACTGAAGAAGTCCCGCCCGAGCCTAATGGAACTTAAATGTTCAAAACTTCAAGCAGGAAAAACACGACATGATGGTGTAGAGAGTTCGGCACGCGGGCCGCCAGTTTGCAATCCCCGTGAGAACACGTGACCCAAAGGTTCCCACCTACTTGTACGTCGAGGCCCCGCCCCACGTTGACGCGGGCACGGCGAGGGAGCGCCTGCGCCTGCGCGTCTGTCCAACCGGCCCGGGAGACACTCGCGCGCGACCCGGAAGACTTTCCCCGCCACTCTTCAGAGGGCGCGTGAGGGGGGCCGATGGCGGAGGGAGCGGCGGAGGAGGCCCCAGCAGACGGGGAGGGCAGTTCCGCAGCCAGCGCGCCAGAACGGGGAGTGGCGCCTATTAAACCTCAGTGAGTCGCGGGGACACCCATGGGACCCTCCTGGCTCCCGTAGCGCGGCGCGAGCGGTGAATGCTGGGAGGTGAGGCAGCGGCGCAGGGTGGGAAGCTCTCAGCCTTCTCTCCTCCGGGCCGTCCCTCGGCCTCTCAGGATCAGCGGCGGGCTCTGAGCTCGCGCACGTCGTGGACTGTCACACACGCGCTCAGGACACCACAGGGCATGCCGGAGTGGGCGGGGCTTAAGGCGGTGGCCGCAGTGCATGTTGGGGCTTGCAGTGTTTAAAGGAGGCGCTAGGAAGTATGGCGGCTGCGGGTCGCGCTGCAAGGCATGCTGGGATCTGTAGTTTTCCTTCCTATACCGTCTAGTGCTCCGTAGTTTAGCTCAACAAACTCTGGAATCGTGACGGTAGGGATCAAACAGGCCCATCCGGGCTGTAGCTGGCTGGTCCTATGTGGTGAAATTCCCTGGGGTTCTCACAGCCCCTCCCGGCATTCATTGAATCTGAGTTTAGAGGATTCTATATTTTAAAAAGTCTTTGTGAATCGGTCAATGGTGTGCAGAGCAGATGACCAGTTTTACATTCAACGATTCAAATTTTGCTTTATCTCGTTCATTGCAATCCCCTTCAATGCACCCCGCCTTCTCTCTGTGTTTCCTATTTCCATCCCGTTCTCTCCTGACCCTTTGGAACTTTATCCTTGTACCCATGCTGCCCTGCATATCACAAATGGTTGGTTTTTCTATGGTGTGCACACTTCCTTATCGTTAGAGGGCCTGTCTATTGTTTGGCTGAGCAGAGAGCCCAGAGGGCGAGTTCAGTTTGAGAGCATCAAGGGTGCAGGCAGCTGTCGCGACTTGACAGTAAAACCAAATCCACACCATGCTCACTGCCATTGAGTTGATTCTGACTCACAGGGACCCCAATGTTATTGTGAGGTGACCGTGACATGGAGCCAGCTCCAACCCATAGCTACCCCCTGCACAACAGCTAAACACTGCCCGGTCCTAGGCCATCCTCAACAATGGTTCCGATGCCTGAGCCCAATGATGCAGCCACTGGGTCAACCCATCTCCTCAAAGGCCTTCCTGTTTATCACCGCCCCTCCACTCTACCAAGCATGATGTCCTTCTCCAGGGACTGGTCTCTCCTGACAACGTGTCCAAAGGATGTAAGACGAAGTCTTGCCATCCTTGCCTCTAACGAGCACTCTGGCCATGCTTCTTCCAGCACACATCAGTTCCTCCTTTTAGTGGTCCAGTGTTCTTTTCCAGCACCGCAATTCTTCTTCTTTGGTCTCTCTTACTCAGTGTCCAACTTTCACGTGCATCTGAGGCAGTGGAGACTACCACAGCTTGGGGTCAAGAGTACCTTAGTCCTCAAACTAACTTCCTCAAAGAACATCCTATAAACAACCCGTATCTGCACGACAGAGTAAAATTGCCTCTGTGGGTTGGCAAGACTGTAACTATTTACGAGAATAAAAAGTCTCATCTTTCTTCCACGGAGTAGCTGGTGGTTTTGAACTGTGAATCTTGTGATAAGCAGCTCCATATCTAAACCACTGCGCCACCAAGGATTCTCGCTCCAACCAGTAAGCCTGGTCTTTTCCTGTTTGTGTGTTTGTTGATATGATTTTGAGTTCTGTTCCACATCTTTCTCCCACTTTACCCAGGACCTTCTCTAGTTCTTCTGGCCTGAGGGTTGTGGACACTGATGTTTTTGACTCATTAGTCCATCGGACTCATTGCTTCCACGTGTCCTCGGTGTTCTCCCTCTTCTTTCTCTGGACGGGAGGGACCCATGGTTGTCCCTAAGAGAGCTGCTGATGTGTTTTTAAGACCTTGCCACTGCTCACCCCAGTAGGATGTATTTAGAACACCGTCTTTGTGGATTACATCACGCCAGTTGACCTTGGTGCCCCCAGAGGGGGGGACTCTTGGACAAGCCCTCCTCTTGCTGCCATCTTCCGGCAGGTACCTCACCACCAAGGAGCAGTTCCATGAGTTCCTGGAAGCCAGGGGACAGGAGAAGGCCACCCAGAAATCTCAGGCAGCCGAACCAAATGGCCCAGACCTGGCTGAGCCAGAGGCCAAACGGGCCCGGCTGGAGGATGGACGGATGGAGGAGGCCACTCAGCCCCAGGAGAAGCCCCAGGCTCAGAAACGGGCCCGAGGCCAGAATAAGGGCCGGCCCCACCTGAAGCCCAGCCACTATGACGGGAACCGCCTCTGCCCCTCCGTGGTCCAGGTGAGGGTGTGGGGGGGTAGTCCCCTGAGGGTGAGGGTGAACAAAACATTGCAGGCTCTCAGTCTGTGCCTCACTGCCCCTCAGCCCTGTGTTCCGGTGGACACAGAAGTCCTTAGCGTTCCCATTTTACAGATGAAGAGACTGAGGCACAGGGTGGTTGCCCACCATTGCATGGCCGAGGCTCTGACACGGGCTGCTTGGTTGCCCTAGCCCCTCTTGGTCATCTCATGCCCTGCCCCTGTGCCCTGCCTCCCTGCCCAGGGCTCTGCAGCCAAGTGTTTCTATGGCGACCGTTGCCGCTTCCTGCACGACCTGAGCAGCTACCTGGAGAACAAGCCGGCAGACCTAGGCCCCTGCTGCGTGCTCTTCGATACCTTTGGCAGGTGTCCCTACGGGGTGACCTGCCGCTTTGCAGGAGCCCACCTGGGTCCTGAGGGCCAGAACCTGGTGCGAGAGGAGCTAGTGGCCCGAGGGGCCCAACCTGCACCCGTCCGCAATGGCCTAGCCAAGGGCCTGCAGCAGCAGCTACGCAAACGCCAAGTCCGCTTCGAGCAGGCCGAGCAGGTCCTGCACCAGTTAAACCAAGCTCCTGGCCCCGCCCCCGGGGCCGCCGAGACCCAGGGTGTGCCCGGGACGGGCGCTGTCGACGTCCAGCAGGCCCTGCCCGAGCCGGACACCACTGCCCTCCCCAGCAGCCCTGTGCAGACCTGCGGGGCCCTGACAGACGAAGACGTCATCAGGCTGCGGTCCCGGGAGAAGAAGCGAGTACGTGACCAGCAGGTGTCCCTGCTGACTCTGCTTCTGCAGCCCAGACTGAGCCGGGGCCACAGTGACATGGCCATGTGCACAGCCCCAAAGGGTCACGGGTGGGCAAAAGGGAGCAGGAGAGAAGAAGGGAGCGTCGGAACTGGGGCTTTGACGATGGAATAAGCGCTCTCCAGTAGCATAGAATGGGGAGAGCCATTCCTGGTGGAGAGGGTTTGGCCTGAACAGGGGCCCCCAGGCGAAGGCCAGTGGGGTCCAGGGAGGGCATGATCCAGTGGGAGCAAGAGACGGGGTGTAAGAGGCCTCCCATTTCTGTCCCTTCAGCTAGACATCAGTGGCAAGTTGTACCTGGCACCCCTCACCACGGTAGGCGTGGGCAGGGCGGGGCGGAGGCAGGGTCACCCCAATGGTGTCCAGCGTCCATTTGTCCCCACCCGGGGGCTGGCTGGGTGTCGGGGTCCCCGGTACTGCACTCTCATGGGAGCCCATCCGCCGCCCCCAGTGCGGAAACCTGCCCTTCCGGCGGGTCTGCAAACGCTTCGGGGCGGACGTGACGTGTGGGGAGATGGCCATCTGTACCAGTCTGCTGCAGGGCCAGACGTCCGAGTGGGCCCTGCTCAAGCGCCACCACAGCGAGGACCTCTTCGGGGTGCAGGTTAGCACCCACGCTATGGGGGCGGGGTGAAGGTGGGGGGCAGCTCACGGTGCCAACCTCCTCCCGCCCGGTGGAGGATCCTGGTGCCAGAAGGTGGGGTCCTGGGGCCATGCCTCTCATCATTGCCCACCCTCTCGCAGTTGGCGGGGGCCTTCCCGGACACCATGACGCGCTGCGCCGAGCTGCTGAACCGCACAATCGAGGTGGACTTTGTGGACGTCAACGTGGGCTGCCCCATCGACCTGGTGTACAAGAAGGTGACGGGACCCCAGAGGGCGGCGGCTGGGGACCTTGCCCACAGAATGGGACTCCAGCCTCGGTTTCCCCAGCAGGAGCGGGCAGTGAGCCCCTGCATCCTCCCATGCCCCGTGTCTCTGGAGGTGCCCCCCACCTGCCCCCCTCCCATCTGTTCACCCTTCCCTTCCCCCCATCCACTCCACCCCCAGGGCGGCGGGTGTGCCCTTATGAACCGTTCCAGTAAGTTCCGGCAGATCGTCCGCGGGATGAGCCAGGTGCGTCCAAGGCCCCCCGCCCAGGTCCCTGATCTGTTCGCCTGCCCCCACCCCCCCTAACCCTCTGCCCGCTGCCCCCGCCCCCCGCAGGTGCTGGATGTGCCGCTGACGGTGAAGATCCGCTCGGGTGTCCAGGAGCAGGCCAACCTGGCCCACCGCCTGCTGCCGGAGCTGCATCACTGGGGTGCGGCGCTGGCCACGGTGGGTCCCCTGAGGGGGCACGGGGGCATTGGGGCCTCCCTCGGGGCACAGGCCTCAGGCCTCCCTGCTAACGGCTCTCCACCCGCCCCTGAAACTCTCTTTCCCTCCTCGTGATCTCTGACCTTCTGTCCCTGCGCCTCCTCTCAGTGCCTCTCATGGTCTCTGCCTCTCTCCTTGTCTCTGATGTTCTCTGTCTCTCCATCTCTCTCCCTCTGTCTCTCCCCGTCTCCCTGACTTCTCCCATCTACCTGTCGTTCTGGGGGTCTCTGTGTCCCTCTCTCTACTCTTGCTCTGTCTTTCTCTCTGTCATGCGGGGTCTCTGCATCTCTGTCTGCTTTTCTTTTTCTGCGCCTCCACGTGTTCGGGTCTCTCGACACTCTCGGTCTGCCTGTCTATCTTTCTGGGTCGCTGTGTGCCTCTCCCCTGTGTCTCTCCCTCTCAGCCTCCCTCCCCGCCCGCCTCCGTCTGTGACTGCCTCCCCGCAGCTCCATGGCCGCTCCCGGGAGCAACGCTACACCAAGCTGGCCGACTGGCAGTACATTGAGCAGTGTGTCCAGGCCGCCAGCCCCATGCCCCTGTTCGGTGGGTGCCCAGACCTCCCTGAGCCCTCCCCCGCTCGAGACACAGCCCCCGTCTCCCTGCTGCCCCTGTGGGGCCGTGGGCCAGCAGGAAGCCCCGCAGCGCTCAGACACTTGCTCCCGTTCTTTCAGGAAATGGGGACATCTTGTCGTACGAGGACGCCAACCGCGCCATGAAGACGGGCGTTGCTGGCATCATGATTGCTCGGTGAGTAGCCTCATACCCTGGATGCCCGAAACCTGGCCTGCTCCTCCCCCACGATCCTGCGGGGGCTCAGGGAGGGGGTGGAATAAGGTTGGCGTTTACACGTTTCTGTGGCCACTTGTTATGGGTCGGCGTTCCTGGGCTTTGACAATCGTGGGACCTCGTTGGTGGGGTTTGGAGAGTGGGGGTGTTGGGGAGCCAGGGCTCTGGCTTAGGCTGGGGCTGTCCACCCAGGGAGCCATGCTGCTTCTCCCAAGCCCAGGCCTGCAACGGGTGGTGGGCGCAGGCTGGGTATATCAGGCAGTGGGTATAAGCAGGGCAGTGGGTGGTGGGTGCGGGCTTAGGCTGCATGGTGGGTATGGGCTGGGCAGCAGTGCTTCAGCCTTGGCGGGCAGTGGCCTCACCCCCGACCGCCCCCTCACACACCTGCCACCCACCCCAGGGGGGCCCTGCTGAAGCCGTGGCTGTTCACGGAGATCAAGGAGCAACGGCACTGGGACATCTCGTCGTCCGAGCGCCTGGACATCCTGCGGGACTTTACGCACCACGGCCTGGAGCACTGGGGCTCGGACACACAGGGCGTGGAGAAGACCCGCCGCTTCCTGCTGGAGTGGCTGTCCTTCCTGTGCAGGTGGGAGGGGGTGTGGCCCAGCTCTCTGCCCCCACCCCCTGCCTGCTCTGGCCCCGCCCCCTCATCCAGCTCCATCTGCAGGTACGTGCCCGTGGGCCTGCTAGAGCGCCTGCCCCAGCACATCAATGAGCGCCCTCCCTACTACCTGGGCCGGGACTACCTGGAGACGCTCATGGCCAGCCAGAACTCGGCTGACTGGGTCCGCATCAGGTGGGTCCGCATCAGGTGGGCAGGCTGGTGGGGGTTGGGGCTGGGGCAGTGGGGGGGCCTGAGCCTTACCCCGCCTTGTCCTCTCCCAGTGAGATGCTGCTGGGACCTGTGCCGGCCAACTTCGTCTTCCTGCCCAAGCACAAGGCCAACTCATACAAGTAGCCGCCGTGCCATGCCGGAGAGGTCCCCCGATGGCCAGGAGCTGACAATAAAGTTTATTCTTTTAACTCTGAGGCTCTTTTGTATTCCTGAGGCAGCCCGGTCCCCATGTGTCCCTGTCCCCGCAGGGCCGTGGGGGCCAGGCCTAGGGCCGACGTGGGGCGGGGGGGCGCTGCTCTGAGAGAAGCTGCAGCCCTTGGAGCAGACGCAGGGCCCTGGCGTGTGGGGAGAAGTGGACAGGGGACGGTTGGGTGGGCCCTGTGGGCAGAAGTCAGCGGCAGGGGCTCCCTGGCCCAGCCCCCGAGCCTGGAACCTTGGCCCCTGGAACCCGCTGCCTGAGTAACCCAGCAAACAGAACCCGGCCAGACTCCAAGCCGCTCTGTGGCTGGCTGTCCGCACTTCCAAGTGTGCCGCTTCCTGCCCGGCCCAGCCCAGGCCCTACTGCCCCATGCAGCACCCCAAACCCTTCTACATGCCCTCTGCTCCTCAAGAAGGCTTTAGTCCCCGGGTCCTGGGTGCTGAGGGGCCAGGCAGTCAGCCCATGGCCTGCGCCGATGTGCTGCCCACAGTGGGTAAGGACACCCCACCCCCACCATGGAGTCAGGGCCCAAGGCTCTACCCACTCGGCTCAGGACCCGCCCTCCTGTCTGCAGGTTCTTCCACCCTGTATCACCCCCCAAACCCGGAGAAAGAGGTGTTTCCGGCCCCGCCGGCAGGTACTGGCCTCCCCTCCCCGCAGGACCAGCGAGTGGGTTCCAGGAGAGCCCATGTCTCCAGGTGGGCCCTCCAGCAGGGCCGGAGTCCTGGCCCCCGCCCCAGTGTGGGAAAGCACGGCTTGTGTCCCTTGTCCCCATGAGCCCTAGCTCACAGGCTCGCAGGCCCCACCCCCCAGGACACGGTTTGTGCCTTCCGCTGCCCACGGGCCCCCGGAAAACACTGCCCTGTTTCCCAGGGACTGTCACTGAGGCTCTTGTCTCCACCCCCACCCCCATGTGTTCCAGGATGAGGCCTGTTTGTCAGCCCTGTGGACGCCAGTACAGGGCCATGTCCCCCTCACCTTCCCCAGAATGAGGTTTCGTGCCCCCATCCCGTGTCCCCCAGGATGAGGCCGTGTGTCCACCCCACCAGGTGCCCCAGGACAGGGCCATGTTTCCCGTGTCCCCAGGACGAGGCTGTGTCCCCCCACAGGTTTCCAGATGGCCCCCTGCGGCTGTTTCTTTGACCCTCGCATCTATCGCATCGAGTGGGCAGCCTCTGACTTTGGCCAGACCTCCCTCTACAAGCTAGTGGCAACAGGCACCGGGGGACAGCCGGGGGTCCCAGCCTTGGGTCCTGCCTCCCCGGGCACCTACCTTCTGGAGCCTCAGTCCTACCTCAAGGCCCAGACCCCCCAGCCACCACCCTTGTACTCCCACTACCAGCCAGTGTCCGGGGCCCGCCAGTATGTCGTCCCTTACTTCCCCCGTGAGGGCTCTGCCCCCGAGGCTCTCAGCTTCATGGGAGACGGGGGGCCCCCAGCCTTCGTGGAACCAGTCCCCCCACCACCTGCCAAGGACAAGCGGCCGCCGCTGCTCATCACAGTGCCCAGTGAGCCGCCGCTGCCGCCCGGCCCCTACAGCCACCTCAAGGGCCGCCTGAGCCAGTTCTATGGGGCCGACGAGGTTCCCCAGGACACCCTGGGATTCCCCACCAAGGAGCCACCAGCCGGACCCAGCCCACAGCCTGAGGTCCCGGCAGCTGCCCCGTCGCTGGCTGTGGGCGAGGCACCTGAGGCCGAGGCGACCCAGGCCCTGGTGCTGCCAGACAAGGTGCTTCTAGAGGACGCCATGAAGCTGTTTGACTGCCTTCCGGGTGGCCCTGAGCCTGGGCCCGAGGGTGGCGTGCACCGGGCCCTGGCCATCCCACAGCCCGACAGCGGTGGCGGCGGGGACGACTCGTCCAGCGACATCCGCTCGCTGCACCTGCCCGACGAACTGCTGTCCTTCGACTACAGCGTGCCCGAGATCCTGGACACCGTGTACAACGTCGACTACTTCTTCAACTTCAAGGCGCTCGACGAGGAGCCGTCCCCGCCCCCGCCCCCTCACCCAGGACACCTGGCTGTCGAGCCCCCGGTGGTGCCCGGCCTGCAACCCAACCCACCTGGCGCTGGCAGGAAGAAGGCTGGTACCTCGGGCGCCAGGAAGGGCAAGGCGGGGGTCAAGGGCAGGCCGGCCGCGGGCACCCCCCCATTAAAGCACATTTGACTTCTGGCTCAGGGCCAGCTCTGTGGCTGCAGGGACGTGAGCAGCACCTGGCCGGGGTGGGCTGGCCCCCACGTGCTACTGCCTAGCCGGGTGGCTAGACAAGTTGGCACTGGGCAGCCTGGCGGGGTGGGATCCCAGACACATGTGTGCACACACACCCCCTCCCATCCCCCACGACTATGACCATACCCCCATGTACAAGGCTGCAGTCAACCGTTGTGGCAGATGAGAGATCCATGACCTTTTATTCCTGCTTTCCCACCAGCTCTGTGAAGCCCCCTGAACACGCTCTGCAGAGGAATACCTACCCCCCTCGCCGACACACAGACATGCACACAGTGACGGGCGGGCGGACGGACACGCAGGTATTCACACAGTAACATACCCAGACGTGGACACAGTGATACGAATACAGGTCGCACCCACTGATACACAGTCACACATCGACACCAACACCAACTGGAACACACACAGGCACGCGCATGCACACCCATCACTGTGCGGTAGACTGCAGCTCCCGGCCTCCGTGTGCGTGTGTCTGGGGCCACCAGGCCCAGAGTCTTGCCCCAGGTCTGGTCAGGGGAGACCAAGCTGCCCAGGGAGGGAGAGAAACTCCCGGAGCCCAGCAGCGGGCAGGGCGGGTTGTTTCTGAGTGGCCCTCTTTTCTGGCTCCCAGGCAGCCGGGGTGGGGGTGGGGGGGCATCAGCACAGGCCCCGCTTGAGGGCACACACGCGGGTCCACAAGGACGCGTGGGGGGTCAGGGAGGCTGGCTGAGGGTGCGTGTGGACATGTGAATCTGGTGCCGGTGGGGGTGGTATGGAAGGCATTCAGGTGAGCAGGCACAGATGTGTGTTTGCAGGGACAGAGGCAGGGAAGCACCTCAGCGCCAGGCTCATGTGTCCCTCTCTCTCTCGCCCTGGGGACTCCAGTGTACTCTCCTCCTCACCTGTGCCAGCCACGCCCACAGGTAACCCTGGAGGGCCCCCCACTCCCAGGGAGCAGGCGAACAGAGTCAGGGAGGTGTTTGCCAGGGGCCTGGGAACAAACCTGCCCCAGCCTCTCTGCGGGGGTGTGGTGGGGGTGCGGGAGAGACCAGGGACCCTCGTTTGGGACCCTCCCCAGGTGGGGAGACCAGGAGGACAGGGCCAGGGGCTGAGGCCAGCCTTCAGGTCCTCCGGTCTGTGGGTGGGATCTGTATGTGGGTCAGCACCTCTGAACCCCTCTCCGGCCCCACTCCCAGTGGCCAGTGAGGGAACCTTGGAAGAGCCAGGCTGCCCACTCTCACCCCTACCTGGACGAGCAACCTGCCCCCCAGCCCAGCGACTGCTTTTAGTGCCCAAACTGGAGGCCAGGCGAGGAGGATGGGGTGGTGGAACCGGTCACAAACGGGTGGCGTGGCGTGGGGCTACAGTGTCTGTGGGCAGAGAAGGGGAAAGCACTGTGTGAGATGGAACCCAGCACACACACACACACACACACACAAAACAAACCCAGGGAACGGGGGCGCCGTGGCATCAGATCCATTTGGATCCACAGAGACCCCACGTGATCTGGACACTGCCCCATGGGGTCGTCCTGGCTGGAATCTTGGGGTGGGGGTTCTCCAGACCTTTCCTGTGCGGCACTGCCCGTATGGTGAACACCCACCTCGGCAGAGCCAGGCTGTGTTGTGAGGGCACCGGGGCTGCACAGGGCCGAGTGGAGCTGCCTCCAGGGGTTCGAGAGGCAGCTATCTTCTCGGGGTTTTCCTCCGGGGAGCCGCCAGCTAGATGGATCTGAGCCGTCCACCGTGCCGTGCCGGCTGTCCTCCCAGGGCTTGGCTGTTGGGTGATGGGGAGCTACGACGGTGGCTTTACCTGCAGATCCAGAGTCCCTGACAAGGTGGCCCGCCCGTGAAGGGGCCGACCCCACTGGGCCTTGGCAAGCTCTGCGGCGCCTGTCAGGGACAAACACACGTCCCAGCCCCGCCTCCTGCCCTCACCGTGGGAGGAGTGGGGTGGTGGGAAGACCCCGTGCCAGCAAAGGAGGACCCCTTCAGCCAGCCAGCGGACCTTAGGAGGCTGAGCAGAGGAAGCTGCCGGGGGCAATAGCGGCGGCCCGGTGCCCCACAGATGGAAACACTGCCCGCCCCTGCGCCTGGTGCATCCATCTTGCTGAGCACCTCCCTCCACTTCACAGGATGCCCTTCTCCAGGAAGACGGGTCCCTTCTGAGAACATGTGTCAGATGAAGTCTCACCATCCTCGCCTCGCCTCTAAGGAGCGTGCCAGCTGTAGTTCTTCCTAGACAGGTGCGGCCGGTTGTCCTCTTGGTCGCCCAGGGCACTTGCGATGCACCGAGCCAGCCCCGTCGTTTGACCGTGAACGGGGGCGGGCGGGGTTTTCCGCGCTGAGCATCAGCGCGGTCAGAAGGCTGGTGAAATTGGTCCGGGCGTTCTTGAGAAAGCCGTTTAGGATTTCAGTTTAGGGAGCAGGCATGGTGGGCAGGTCCAACAGTAGAATCCCCACCCACAAGCGTGGTGGGTCCAACCTGGGCTGCTCACCCTTAAGGTCAGCCGTTCGAAACCACGGGCAGCTCCCCGGGAGAAGGGTGAAGCTTGCTACCCCTTGTGAAAGTACATGGACTCCACCCCCACCCCCAGTGTGGGTGCTCCAACAGAACTTGGCTTCACAGGGTAAATATTGTTTTTGTCGTCCCCCCGCCCCACACACACGTATGAGACCAAGGTCCCTGAGCTGCTGCAAGAAACTAGCAGACAGGCATAGATAAGAAACGACTTTACTTTGAGCAGGGGGGACGAGAAAATGGCATTTAACAGCAGTATTGTAGTCTAAATCCTGCTGGAAACAGTGTTTTTTAGTGTGTTACCTTACTCGGATTAAAAACAAACAACCCCAAACACTGTTTCTAGACACACAGTAGGCGCTTGGAGTCGGAATCACAGCACGGGGGCGTCCGACGGCCGATGTTTCCTGAGAAGGCAGGTCGGCAGGCCTTTCTTCCGCACACTGCCCCAAGCTCCCCAACACCCGCTTTTCCTCCGTCGTCGGCCGGGGCCAGGGATTGGGGGGCGTGGCGGGGTGGGCGGCGCTTAGGAAACGTGTTTGTGTTTGTGGAAGAGGCGGGCCCAGAGCTGGGTCTTGGGGAGGGCGTAGACCAGCCACAGAGACAGCAGCACGGAGACGATCATGAGCACTATCAGCAGCTCCATGGGGAAGATGGCCATGGGGAAGGCTCCGAAAACGTAGATGCTGAAGGTGGTCTGCAGGGTACAGTAGCTGCCGGGGTGAGGACGGCGGGCACCGCTCGCACTTGCTGTTCCAGGGCCGCTCTGCCCCAACCCCTCCACCACCACCACCACCCCCCAGGCCAGAGAGCCACCCCCACCCCTACCCTCAGACCCAACTGTGGAGTCGATTGGACTCAGTGACCGTCTAGGGCAGAGCAGGCTCCCGAGTCTGTCTGTCTGTCTGTCTGGTGGGGCATGACCAGAACCAGGCAGGTCAGACGCAGGGAGGGCAGGCCCAGCTGAGTCGGCCAGCAGGCCGGTTTTGCAGAAGCAGACGGCCAGACCTTGACTCCGGGGCACCCCTGATGGGCTCACACCTACAGCCAAGAGCCCGTTCACCAGGGGGTGGGGGAGCCTGGATGGAAAGGGATGAATCCCCCTGTCCCCTTTCTCTCCTCTGGACACCTAGCTCCCTGCCCCAAGACCTCCCCCACCTGGGACTGTTCCAGAACTGGTCTAGGTCCAGGCCTGAGGTCTCAGGGCAGGTAGTGTCTATCCGTGCTTTGCTGGAAGGGACTTGTATGTGTCCCTGTGGGAAGTGGGGAGGGGTGCTGGTGACGCAGTGGTTACATGTGGAGCTGCTAACCACAAGGCAGCGGCTCAAAACCACCAGCCGCTTGGAGGGACAACGAAGAGGGTTTCTGTTCCCGTAAAGAGTTAACAGTCTCAGGGACCCACAGGGGCAGTTCTACCCTGCCCTACAGGGTGTCTGAGTCAGCAGTGACCTGATAGCGGGGAGGCAGGTTTGGGGTTTGGGTTGGGAGGGGACAGAGGGTAAGCAGACGGTGGCTTTAAGCAAGGGGAAGGACACAGAAAAGGGTGCCACTTCACAGTCCCCCTACACTGGGACAGGTTAGAAGTCAGGGCCAGCACTCTGAGAAGGATGACAATGAGTCCTCTCGTTAGTCATGGAAATGCTGGGGCTGGGGGTGGGGGTGGGGGGCAGCCCTGGGGCAGGGCCCATGGCCTGTTTTGTGGGGCAAATACTTCCACTGGTGTGAACACCCACACGGGTGTCACCGCCCCCATCCTGCGGGTGGGGACACACCCCACCAGGGCCGGATGAGAAGCAGCATGGACACCTGACTGGTGCTGCTGGCAGCAGCAAGGTGGTTGTGGCCCACAACGGGAGGTCTCTGGGTGTTTACTTAGTGAAATACCTGTCACCAGGGCATTAAAATGCCACATTTCCCTGGGGCAGTCTAGACTGCTGGCAGGACTGAGCAGGAGCCCCCACCTCCCTGCGGAGGGGAGGGTAAAGGTGTGTCCCCCCAACATGTGCAACTCCCTCCTCCCCGAAGACATCTGGCCCTTCCTGGGGTGACCCTCACCTGTAGTAGGGGTCCACAATGGAGAGCCAGAAGATATAGATTCCGTTCCTTTGGTTAAAAATGAGTTTGTTGTCGGTTGGGCCACCCACGATCTCATAAGGGACATCAGGCCACTTCAAAGGGGGCCCCTCTTCAGACTCGTGGCAGCTCTCATAGTTCTGGGGAGGAGGAGAACAGAGACAAGTTAGGCCACATCTTCTCACTGGCCCCAGGCCCTCCCCTGGCCAATGTCATGCTGGCTACCCCCCAGGCCCTCCCCTGCCTCACCCTGTCCCTCCAATCCTCAGCCTCCAGGAGGTGACCGAATGAGCAGCCCTGTTTCCCTGCAGCAGGAACTCTGCCCTGGGCACCCAGCCTCCTCCATGCTCTCCTCCTACCCAGCTGTCCTCACTCTTGCTTCCCAGACTCCTTTGCAGCCAGGAGTCTGGCTCAGACTGACCCCCCTCCCCAAAAAAAAATAATAAAGCAAACCAAACTCAATGCCGACTCACAGCGACCCAAAGGACAGCCTGTCCCTGTGGGTTCCTGAGACTGTCACTCTGTACAGGAGAAAGCCTCATCTTTCTCCCACGGAGGAGCTAGTGGTTTCGAACCACTGACCTTGTGGTTAGTAGCCTACCTAGTAACCACTGCACCACCAGGACTCCCTGTCCTTTAGGATTCACCTCCACAATGGTGACTATCTAGTCTACTTCTCTAGATCTAGTCTGTATATGTTTGACCTATTTATCTGTATCTCCTAGAGACCGTAACTATTTTACAGGAAGAGAAAGCCCCATCTTTCTCCCACTGAGCTGCTGCTGGTGGTTTCGAACTGCTGGCCATTTGGATCACAGCCCAATGCATAACCACTGCTCCACCAGGGAGCCTCTGAGTCAGCATTGACTCAATGGCAATGAGTTGTTTTAGCTTTGTTACATCTGTATATCTAATCTATATATTTGATCTCTATCCCTGTACCCATATCTATCTATGCGATCCTTAGTAGCATAGTGGGTCACACATAACGATGAGGCTTTCTGCTTCAATAAAGAGTTAATGCAGGAAGCCCACAGGGGCTGGATCAAGATGAGTCCAACTCAGTGGCGGTGGCTTTTTTTTTTTAAATATAGAGTTTCCGAGACTGTAAATCCTTACAGGAGTCAGACAACCTTCTTGGTCTCCCTTCAAGGGCCTGGTAGGTTCGAACCAGCAGCCTCGGGGCTAGCAGCCCCATGACTAACCCCCAGGGCCACTAGGGATCCTATGCATTTTGCATGCAGGAACTGTTGAGTTTCAGGCACGTGTTTTGCCCTGTGGCTTTTCAAGCGAAAACAAAGGGGGTGACTCACGTGCAGCCACTGCGACCAGCACAGGAGATGCCTGCCCAGCTGGGAACCAAGGGCGAGCCAAGCCTCCTCGGGCCGCGCCCCGCCGCAGAGACGTCGGGGACGCAGGGAGCGCGCTCCACCTGTTGGCGGCCCTGGCTGAGTGTCCGCACTTGACCTTGAGCGGCTCACGGGACTCCAGGCCCCAAACCTGAGCGCAGCTGTTTCCCACCCACGCGGGAACCCTCCGGTTTCTTCGCTCCACGGTCGTCAGGGCCTTTACTGGGTTATTCTGCAGGCGAACGATTCAAACACTCGCCAGAGTTAACCATGAAAAACTTTTAAAAAAGGAAGGAAGGTACAGAAGCTCTTGCTGAGACCAACGGACTGTGGATGTAATTGGCCCCTTCATGGTGGGTCTAGGAAGCCCTGGTGGTGCAGTGGTTACGGCTGCTAATCGCAAGGTCAGTAGTTCGAACCCACTTTGGGCTGCTCCCTGGGAGACGGATGAAGCTCTTTATTACCATAAAGAGTTACAGTCTGAAAACCCACCGGGGGGCAGGAGTCAGAGGCAACTCCGGGGCAGGGAGATTTTGGGGTGGGGTGGGGTGGCACATTGAACTGCTAAAATGGCAGCTCAGCCATGGAAACCCCACCATAGTCTGCTTGGGTCAAGATGCACAGCCTCAGAGAGGCACAGGGGGTGGGGGTGGGGGGTGTCTACTCTGCCCTGGACGCTCGCTGTGATTGGCTCATAATGCAGGGAGTCCCTGGGGCGTGCAAGTGCTGACATCATCCAAAGGTTGCCCGTTCCAGGCCACCCAGAGGTGCCTCGCAAGAAAGGCCAGGCGACCTGCTTTTTATCTGGTGCCGCTCAGCTCTAGTCTGAGAACGTCGCGAACTTACTTCAAAAAGCCAGAAAGAAAGGCTTGGACATTCCCTCGAGGGTTTCCCAAGGTCGCCGGTTAACAGTCATGCTCAGGCTCCCTGGGGGGGGTGGTGCCCCTGAGGCCCCGCCCCACTGCCCCAGCAGCCCCGGCCATCTGCATGCAAGTGTGCCACAGACGTCACCTCTCGGGACCAGCGGAAAGGCAGGCCCTCCTTGGCTATAATGGTGCTCCAGTTCTGCGGCTGCCATTTGCAGTTGGCGTCCTCGGCCGTCATGGAGTA